GACGCCCACTCTATCTGGCCGCGTTCAATGTTCGCACTCTGAAGCAAGCGGGACAACAAGCTGCTCTTGCACTCACACTGGACTCGCTTGGCCTTCCAGGATGGGGACCGCGTGATCCTCACTGTGCCTGGTTGGAGGCTCTATAGGATATGGCTGCCAACCGATGTCAGTGGCGTTCTTGTTGTCAGTTTCTATCCAGATTGCCTGAGTGAATGTCTGGAGGTGTAGGCACCTCGGAATGATTGTGTTAAGCTAGCACTAAGTCCCTCCCCCATCCACCTTTATTCTTTTCTTTACAATAAGGCTTTCAAATAAATCATGGTTGTACGGCAGTGAAGCATCGACGTTGAACACTGATGTCATGCTGTCGATGATGATGACCAAATCTGAGATTAGTAGATTAGAAGCAACGGAGAGAGGGATAGTCGCAACTAGGTTGACGTGGGTTGATTAGGGTGTTGTAGAGAAGCCGTTTGACAAATCGAAAGGGCCATGTGGAGAAGGAAGAACCGGCTGTGTGCATTTGATAAACCACGATCACGGACGTTAACAGCACAGGATGGACTCCAGAACTAAACGGGTAGTAGTTTTTCGGATCATGAAGGATTTAGCTTTTGGTATAGGAAGTATATGTGAGGTCTTCGGAGAGGACACAAAGCCAGTTGATGGAGATGGATAAAAGTGGCGATTTGGGTGAGTGCTCTAGCTCAACTGGGGAACATGACTGGAATACAATCCGGACCCACAAGGCTTATTCGTTTCACGGCAGGGAGGATTGGTGGACGTTTCTTGTGGTAATGGCGAGTGGGAGCAATCAGGCACGAGCCGTCAGGTAAACTACAACGGTTGTTGGTTTTCCATGGGAAGGATTTAATGCCTCACGGGAAATCGATTGTCTTGCTGTACGTAAGTTACGAGCTGCATTTTCAAGACTTCAGAATCATCCGCTCACAACAGCTGCGTCAGACAGTTGATCAACCCTGTCAATGAAGAATATATCCTTAACTTGACGGTGGTGAATGCCGAAGCTATGAAAGCGTATTTTGTAAACGGATGCACGGACCAATATCCGTACAAACGATTATTTCGGTTCATTGAGATGGTTCAGTGGTTAAGGCGCGAGTTTACTGACCAGATGGTTCGTGGTTCGAACCCATTCTCTGCATCTTGACTGTTCCGGTCTAGGCTTGAGCACCCTGACAGTATTTCAGCCCTTGGGTTTCTTTTGGGTGGCATGGCGACTAGGCACTGGGAGGGCGCTACAGTTGAAGGATTAATGTTTACTATTATTGCGGGGCGCTTGATTACAGCGTGCAGTCTATTTGAGGTATTATCTGAAAGTACAAACTTTGTAGGACCAACAAGCAAAGACCTGACCAGTACCATCTGAACAGATGTGAGATTAGGTGTTACTGAAGAGTGAGGAAAATGGATGGAAGAGTAGCTGAGAATATGAGGGTCTTCAGAGAGTTGTCCTCGTGGTTGGTACTTCAACTTGGTAGAGACAGTTTGAAATGGGCAGTTGGTGATTGTAAAAAAATTTTGTCATTCGAACAAGGTAATAGGTGTCATGAGTTGAAGTCGCCGATAATTAACAGTTCAGCCGCGGGTCTGACTGCGAAATGCTTTCGCAGCCTATATTCAATAGAGAGTACATTTGAAATGCGTCGTTGCCGTGGGGTGATGAGTAAATCAAGCAAGACACTTATTACCATCGCATTTAAGCAACAAATTAGAAACCTGCGATTCGTATATCCAGTCGGGTTAATAGGGATACAGAAGCGGGATACATGTGCGTGTGAATACAAGCCGTCGTTTTACAGCGGAAACCATAGGTGATTGAGTTATGTGCGAGGAATAGGGCGGGTAAGACGGAAAAGAGTAATAGCTGATGAGTTAAGTGGACGTCACTGTTCAGTAGGCGACTTTTGCAAAGCGAGGCTGTCGTTGCTTGAGGAGAGCGACTATTCCGTCTGTTCTTCATGACAGTGTTTCATTAGTAGGTAAGTGTAGTCACTTAACTGTGATACAATTATTGTTGGTAATTTCATCCTTTGATCTGGTTTGCATACATTTGGCCTGATAGGAAGCTCTGTTTGGTGCCTTACAAAGGCATACATCTTACGAACAGGTGTTATGCCTTTTTCAGACGTTTGATGGAGCCAGTTGACACACAGGATGGAACCAAGTCCACGGACTCTGATTGGGACATACGAAATCCGTTTCGCAGTAAGTCTGTCCTTCAGATGCTTTTATAAAGGTGGAATACACCCAAACAACTTTTTGGAAGTTGTTTGCTAGACAGAAACGTTTGTTCTGTGTTACTTCACAGTTCTGTTTGACAACATCTTTTTGTGTGAGCGCTAACATTTCCAAGTTAGCATTCTAGTCACCCGTCGCTAGTTTATGTCAGTGTAATCCAAAGGGTTTGGAATTTGGCGGGTATTCTCGGCTTGTCTTATCTCTTGAATGCGGGTTTGTAGAATAAGTTCAGTCACAAATTCCAGACAGAGTGTCCTTTGAAAGGCTTCTCGGCAATCAAAATTATTGGTTATTTCTATTCCTATGGGATACATCTGATGGCATAGAAGTTTCAGGTGCACAGCTGAAGAAAAACTTAGGAAGCCTCTGACACCCCTCGCTCCACTCCTCTCGGTCTTCAGGTGTAGGTGAAACTCCTCATTGCCCTATAAAGTCGTACACACTTTTTTGTGAACCGCGGCCCGCATCTATATGATGATTTTGCTGATTCAGCTCCGGAACTGGGTTGAGGCCGTTTATCAGCATGGCTCCAAGCGGGCTTCTTTCGTCCCGATCGATTTCCACAGCAGCCAACCAGGACATTGCTTTTGAAGCGAGCCACGACAGCGTTCCCCGTCACCTGGAATTTGAAATGAAGTCCTATTTGAAGAGACTATCCCCGTAGACAAGTTGAAAACACCTTTGTGATATGCTCCTTTGTGGGGCGTTTCTGCGCGTCGCCTTAGTATCCTTTTGTTATATCTAATTGCTGTTTCAGCTCCAGTATCTGGTGCCGGAAAAAGACTCGCCGATAAGTAACACGACGGCTTTATTCCGAACAAGTTAATGCGAGGGCGTGAGTGCGAAAATACAACGGTCTCAATCTATTTTATTGGAGGGATACTGTCTGACCTTGGTCCACACTCTCTCGCGCTGCCTGGACTTGATACAAGGCTGTGATGCGCTGCATATTGGGGCGGCGTTGTCTGTCTGGTCAGCATCTAGCGGATTCGTGAGTCTCAGTAGATTTCAGTGGTTACTTTCAGGAATCTGACCCTCCTGATATCTTAGAACCACTTTTACATCACCCCATATATGAAACAGTCCGTCGCTTCCGGACTTTGAGCTAGTTGTGCTTCTGGTTTGTTGAGCACATGGATTGTCGCCAACTTGGGTCTACTTCTCTGGTGTCGTATGCGTCTTGAGAACATCATACAGTATCCTCTTCCACCGAAGGGCCGTGTGGGGAATACTTTGGCCGTATACCTCTATCAACTCTGATTGCAGCATCTTACAGACCTTACGCATACCTACTGTCAAAATGATTCTTTCGAAAAGTTTGGAAAACGATAGGGATTAGTTGTAAAACGACAAACCCTCAGTTGACTGCAAGTGCTTTTGTTTGTCTGTAAATTGGTGCAAGGCCCATCAACATATGAATGGTGCACACCAGTGGAGAAGTAGTATGGTGCTTCGTATGAAGCAGATGAGTCGATGAAATCCTACGAGCGGACCACTAATTGTCTAGTGAATGGATAGTCTACCTAATAATCGAAACTATTCAGGATTTCTGTTTATCTGTTGCTCGGATAGGGGTTTCACACCCCGCAGTCTAGGTCAGGCGAGACACAGCAGGGAAACGGTTAGCACCATGGGTTGCAAGAGCCTCTCATGGTTCGCTGTCACTTGTCACAATGGACTTAAAAGACCACAGTTTAAAATCACGGCACAGTACGGTGAAGCAGTTTGGTGAACCACACGACCAAATGCCGATTTTAACCCTAAGCACAAATTCGGACGCGCGTCGGTGATTGATAATGCAATGTCTCAATTTCCTGGCGTCATGCATTCATGTATACTTCCAAGATTGATTCTTCTGGTCTTTTGCCGTGTATGGCGTGGCGGATACCAACGGGGGGATTACGTAATAATGATAGTGATAAATAATCATTCAACTATTATATTATGCCTTCGATGCCCAGCTGTCATATCATCCAAAGGGAGGTTTGAGCTTATGTCAGGTCGCCCAAGCCTAGACAGAAGCAGTCGAAAAGCGGAGTTTGGATTCGAACCACTGACCTTCCAGTTAGTAAGTTCGCGGTTTGACCACTGAACTATCTGCAGCTAATAGACATTAGCAGAATTTGACGATAGAGGTTATCATTTTGGGGGATCAGGATCATATCTCCCCTCCGTGTTTCAAACGAAAGAGTGCATATATCAAAATCTGTTGCCTCAATTCATGGGGATACTTTCGCGTGCTCCTAACTTTTCCAGTTCGGTTGAGATTACGTGCTCAATACGTAACGCCGACCTGTCTCATTTTGTATCCTTGTTGGTCTTGTTACTTTGGAGCCCCGAAATTCTGAGCCGCGTCAGCAATGTGTAGTCTGATCACATCAGATAAGAGGGGGATCGGTATTCCTATTATAAGTTACCTCTGAAAAATCCCACATGGGGACTAATCGCAGAAGCACGCATCTTAGTGCAAGGTAATCACGCTCCTGAACGGCTAAGTGTTCTAGCTATTAGCCGGTGGGTTCGAAACTCCTTAGAGTTGAGTGAGGTACGCAGTGCTAATGAATCTCAATGGGGATGAAACAGCTGTTCAAACTTGTCCCCTCCGTATGACGACTTCCTGCCAAATGGGCCACTTCGTTCCAGTTCCGCGAGTTTCACCATTGAATGGATGAACAAGATACCAAGCCTTCTCCAAAGGGAACAGGAAAAATTGGAAAATTTCTGCGTCAATACTACTTAACAAAGACTAAACCTCAGCAATTAAGGCATGTTAACTTTGTTTTGAATAGCAACTTGGCTCGGACGTGTCCTGTAGAATGTTTCTCAGTAGAAGACCATAGTGATTAGGAGTATGCATGAGATGCACTTATTTGCGTATTTATTTGGTTTAGTATGTACCAGCTAGACGGTATACTGTGGTATCCCCAATGTGGTCTCAACTGGAATATGCGATGGTCTTTGAGCAGCGCATTCATCTGAAGAATGTCACAAACAAGAGATTAAATGGGGATTCGATGGAGTCTCCCGTTAACACCGAATTAGTGTGCATCTGAGTGCTCGCCGAATCGCGTACAATTTGGAATCAAGTAGAACATTAGGTTCCGAGAAATTTGGGGACTGCATCTACCTAACGAGTCCCAAGAAGGCGAAACTGGTCGTGGGTTGTCGAGAAGGCTTATGAGTAGTGTGTCCCGCCTAGTCTCATTCTCGGCTTTTTAGATTCTGCTGTCTCCTGATTACTACTGCTAATGAACATCCCTTCACTCTTTTACGCCTTGCAGAATTTGATTTCGCCTCCTATCTGAAGGAGGAATTAGTACAGTCTGTTCGACAGAGGCAGGAGAAATCTGGCACCGACAACTGTGGTCCGTTCACCAATCGTGTATATACTTTCGTCACTGTTCCACAATATTTTGAATCGGTGGGTCCGCATATGCACTTTGCCTTGTGAATCACACGCAGTTCGATATTTCTCCACCTATTGTAGTTACTCCCCGCTAGACTGACTACATAAGGCTATCGACCACAAGTTTGCCATAAGCCTCAGAATACGCTTCCGCAGGCGGATAACTGTGGTTGAATACCGGTTACACTAGATGAGGTCAGAATGCGACACATGGTTCCTACAATTCGAGAGCAATTTCAGGTCGTCTGGGCTGAGTTGACGTAACGTTTCGTCTTTTCCACTGGAAATTTCCATCCGCTTCTCTTATAACTCACAAGTTTTAGAGCACTTTCATCTAGGTCTTTTCTAATTCCGAACATGAAACATGCTCACCCGAAAGCTCAGTCTACTGTTATTCCAGATTAAGACCATTTTATAATGTATCCAGAGCCCAAGGTAGTATAACGGTGGATGCGTGAGTTTCACACTGAATAGCTTAATTTGATTCGAAGCCGTGCCCCTCTGTATTCTTGTTGGATTCATATTTATTCCTATTATTCTGATTTATTTATTGTTAGATTCCTATTTAACTGTTTGGGACTGCGTTTCTAGTAACAGCAGGCGACACAACTATGCCCCCGTATCACCCGCTACACTTATCTCGTAGATTGGGGCGATATACGTAGTTGTCGAATTAGGATACAATCTCTTTCACAATCGCGCAGTGGGTTACGCTACTGCCCGTAACGTTTGATCTATACTCGACAAGCTTCATGAGCAGCTAGCACAGAGGCTTTTCAACCGTAATTCTACAGACGGCTTAAAGCACACTGGTCACGGTTCAAGGAGATCTACTGATTGACCTACCTAAAGTGCTGCTTTGTGGGAGATCGTTTTTTCTTGTGAAGGAGCAACAGTGAAAAAGCTCCAAGGGTTATCACAAGTGGTATCCTTTGAAGAGAAATAGTGCTTGCCGATTGCAGTAATTCGGATTCCCCTATAAATTCCTACATCTATTTGGCACATGACCGTTGTACTGTAGTCTTCTTGGATCGTTACTTTTGATGATACTCCTAATTTGGAGGCGATGATCATGAGATTATATAGTTTTTGCGTTGGTACTTTTCGATTACACCATTCTAGTGTTCTCTTGGTCGTTGAACTTAAGTCAGACAGTCATTTTCTCAGCTACAAACCGTATCCAAATCACAGTGGTTCCAGATACTATAGTTTCGCTCACCGAAGGTAAGGAGAATGGAGAAATCACAGCCACGTTCTGGAAGTGACAGTGCAACCAGTTGATTGATGTTCTAACATCCGTGTAATATCACTCGGACGAATTTGGTTTTCAGACCACCAATGTGTTAATCAGCAACCGATCTGCACAGACTCACACGACTGATCTGACGATCGAAATAGTACGTTTACTATTCCGTTTAGTTTTTTCGATGACAATAGTCACCGAAACATTAGTTTACACACTATATCATAGGTATTACTCACTAAGTAGTAACCTAGCATGCTTCGCCGCATACCTATCTCACTCGTTTGTGGATCGATTCCGTTCTCTTCCCTTTCTATCAGTTTATGAGCTACGGTCTGCTCCAGTGTCTGGACCATTTGCTCGTGATTTACACATTCCTGCCGATCCGTTGCTTCCTAACGGGTATTCGTCTCCTATCACATCTGGTCAGTTCGTTATTTCGGTGCGTTTGTCAAGTCTTCTATGGGTGAGTTCACTGTCCTGAACGCTACAGATATTTTTAATGTTTTGTTCATTTCTCTGGCGATTCGCCGTTAGGATGTCGCCTTGATACTATCAGTATTATTATTAAGATACATATGTGGTGAGTTGCCAAGATTTTCTATCCTTCTCAACATTGAGGCGTGAACTATGTAGACTAGATTAAGAGGGAGGTTTTGCGGTTACACGCTCACAAGTCTGGCTACCTTGGCATCGATTTCTGATGTTATAACTTGCTGGACGGTAGTGCAACTCTGTGTCGGTCCCTTGGCTTCCTGCTCCACCCACTATGGTATAGCAAAAGGCACGGTAGCTGTACACAGCCCTTTATGGAGACAAAGGAAAATCAGTACAACTGTTTATATATAGGGTAGTCACAGAGTGTTCCACAAGGTCGTGCCAGAATGTCCGTGAGGGGGCGAGAACCGTCGAGTCAAGGTGCTTGACTCGGATTGGCTGGCATTCTGACCAATCAGGGCATGCCTACGTCTGGCCCGTGTCCTGCACGTGACACATGCATCCAACTGATGTGATGTTCGGTTATTAGGGACGGCTGGCCCCCGAACACCTCCCCCTTGAGAGGGCTATCCAACCGACTGCTGCTTTGGATTCCACTGTGATGACTCATGGAGGTTCTGTCGCACGTCGGTCCGTCCCTGGGGCTGCCAGCATGCTGATCTGGAATCCGGTACCCTCCACTTGGGAGGTATGTCACGGCTGTCCGGTTTCCAATGCGACGTGGTCCCCTCACCAGACCGCAGTCTGTTGCCTGAAGTTGGTTCACTTGACGCGGATGTGCTGATGTTCTTACGTGTGCCTCGTGTTTGACATCGTCGACCCTGCGTCCACCGTGGAGAGCATTCCTCATATATTTGAATCGGTGGCTGGTCTCTGTGTGACTGTTGTGGCGTCCCTTCTGCCGGCCCCACTTCCTTGACTTTCCGGATAGCAGTAGGACGATCCGCCTGAACCTGCGACTGTAAACTGAACGGTTCAGATCGCGGGTGAAACGTTGCGGGCTGCTGGGAGGGTTCACCAAATTGCACTGAGGTGAGAGGGCTACCGCTGCCGGACGCCAGAAGCTGAATAGTCGCTGTGTCGCGTATGCTCCATCTGGTCTCCGGTTTGGCTGCAACTGTAGCGACCACAAAATCGTCAGGACGTGATGTTCTCGTGAACGTATCGGGGCCGTTTGCAGTTGTTTCGTCACAAACGGCATTGAGGGGTTCATCCAACAGTTGAAGCTCATTAATCCAATCCAGGCCCAAGAGATCAAGGCCTGTGTAGTTCGTGAGGTAACAAGTGCCACTGAGATGAATTCCCTTGAACGTTACGGAACAGTTCAGCTTCCCGGTCAGTTTGAGGCTTCCACCAGATGCATTACGAACGATGCACTTTGTGGGTTCCACTGGTGGCCTTCCAATTTCGTTCCAGGTTCGTTTTGAAATCAGAGTGAGGTCAGAACCTGTATCCAGTTGGAGAGTAACTGGTGTGCCATTGATACATAATGTGACAAATTTACGTCGACCAGGTGATTTCATCCTGAATGTGGCGGTCACAGCCTCTGCCTGCGTCCTTTTGTCGGGTCGGTGTTTGCGCGAGCTCCTGAAGTTGTCTCTGCAGCATTCTTCTTTGTGACCCTTTCGACTGCACTTACTGCACCTGTGGTTCCGGTAGGGACAGTGGCGTGAATAGTGCCATTCTTCACAAAACCAACAGGGTGTGGGCGGTTTTCTTGGAGTTCGTTTTGAACTTGACTTCCTTTTGGAAGTTACTTTGCATACCATATCCGGCTGAGATAATTTGGAATGTCCAATCATGGCAGCATCAGCCTTGAGATTGATAAGATGCTGGCATTCGGTGGTAAGTTTCTGAAGCGTCAACTCTGGATCCTGTTCAATTCGATTCAGTAGCCGGGTCCGAATATCTGCATCGTGTGGTGATTGAAGACCAGCCACAAAGATGAGACACTTGAATTGATCCTCGGTCATGGAGCTGAGCTGAAAGCGCTCGCATTCTCTGTTGACCACACCGGCATATGTGATGAAATCCTCAGTATCCCTTTTGGTAATCTTGAGACACTGATAACGAATATTGAACAAGGAACTTTGCTCACCGAATATTTGGGCCAGAATTTTGACAGCATCTGCGAAACCAAGGTCACGAGGGAGTTTGGGGAGAATGAAATTTGTGAACCGATCGTGTTCAGCTGTCCCCAGTTTCCGCAGCAACAGACGAACTTTCCACGCATCATCAAACTGAGCAAAGTCGGTTTGAAACATGTCTTCATATTTCTTGAACCAACTTTCGAAAGTTCGTCCAGATTCAGCATCAAAATTGAATTCGGTAATTGAGCTGGCAGCAGCATCTGCGGAAGAAGACGGAGGCTCACCCTTTTTTATCGCATTCACCGACATACTGCGCATCAGAGATTCAACAAGCCTCAGTTGTGCTTCTTCGAACTGCTTCTGTTGTTGCTGTAAAATTAATTGGAGTTGCTCTGCCGAAATTGACATCGTGGGTTCGGGTTGTCGCCAGTTGTTATAACTTGCTGGACGGTAGTGCAACTCTGTGTCGGTCCCTTGGCTTCCTGCTCCACCCACTATGGTATAGCAAAAGGCACGGTAGCTGTACACAGCCCTTTATGGAGACAAAGGAAAATCAGTACAACTGTTTATATATAGGGTAGTCACAGAGTGTTCCACAAGGTCGTGCCAGAATGTCCGTGAGGGGGCGAGAACCGTCGAGTCAAGGTGCTTGACTCGGATTGGCTGGCATTCTGACCAATCAGGGCATGCCTACGTCTGGCCCGTGTCCTGCACGTGACACATGCATCCAACTGATGTGATGTTCGGTTATTAGGGACGGCTGGCCCCCATCTGATGATTATTAGGGACGGCTGGCCCCCGAACATCTGATGACCCCTTTAAAGTGTTTTCATGTATTCTCTCCATCGCTCAGACCATGTGCTGAGCCTATAAACCCATTTTACATAGGCAAATGTTGGACGGCATACGGTGTTGCAACTCCTATGTCGGCCCCTAGCTTCCGGTTTTGCCCACTGCTGTATATCAAAAGGCACGGTAGAGTCAAACGAAGGAAAATTATTACAACTATATTTATAGGGTTATAACGGAATGCTCTACAAGAGTCCGCAAGAATTTTCGTGAGGGGGCGAAAATGGCTGAGCTATATGATGCTCGATCATGATCGGCTCACATTCTGACCAATCAGGGCGTGCCACCGTTCGCTTCGTAGCCCGCTCGTGACACCTGTCCACTCGGTGTTCACTTATTTAGGACGATTGACCTCCGGACACATCTTAACATCTCGTTAGTTGTCATCCGACTGTTCGGGTCAGGGACTGATGGTTTGAGATGTGGGGGGCGTTGGTGTACGCACACATACGACCTGCTGCGCTTGGCTGCTTAAATAGACTTTAGATTCGCGTATCATACGGTCGCTGATCACACTTTTTTGGTTGACCGATAAGCCTACTAGGAAATGTTGAAGGATTTTTCCGGTACTTTTTGATCGACCATTTCCTTTCTCAGTCTTCATGGATGTTCTGTCTCCACCTTTCGCTGACCGTTTTGTTTGTGTTATGTGTTCGCGCGACTGTAAGCCATCCAATGTCCCGTTGTTATACTGCGTCTTCGGAATTGGTCTCTGCTTTTTTGTTATGTTTGCCTTCCGGCTTACTTGTTCCGCGGTTAACTCGAGCAATACAACTGGTCCGGAGAACAGGTCAATAACCAATGAACGCATCTGAGCTGCTAACGTTACTAAACCTTGCCGGACATCTTTGTGCGGTTTCCCACATGATGACCACGATTCAGCTTTCATCTATGCTAGAGGAAACTCTCTGGCCCATTTCTCTTGACATGTTGTTTGAACGGAACTGACCCGCAATAACCTTTTCATTTAACTACGCCGTTCATCCTGTTGAATTCACTCATTTCCGTAACACAGCTACATTCCAATCAGACTCAAACGTATACACACACCGAATCGACTGTTCAGCTACGAGCTTCGTGACGTTGTTCGACTTTCTATCATCATTATATGCACCACGTTATTGGTCAATGTGGACAGTTCAGTCGCTTATCACGAAATCCGAACTCAATCGGTCATCAAAATCTATTTGTTTTTCAACCTACTCGAGGTTTGTCTTTTGTGTTTCCGTAAACACTAATATGTGTTTATGCAGGTCGCTGATCGCTTGCTATCTGCAGTCTGCCTGGATGCTTTAGATGACCTACTCTACACGGTCAGCAAACCTCGGCGACGGCCAACAAAGAATGGTGATGGCACTGACGCCAGGGAAGGCAATGCAGGGTATAATATGAGCTGGGTGCGAGATTTGGTGTTCCAGTACTGCTTTGCCCTGGTCTGTATATGTAAGTTCATTTGAATTCAGAATGAGTCTAATCCTGGCTGGTCATCAATTTATTTCATAAAATGTTTCATCTAACTGGAATCCACACGTAGATCAGTGTGGCTGTGTTGTCTGTCCTCATGGTAGACGAAAATGTGAGCACGATACTTCATTGTCAAGCAAACACCGCTCGGTGGGGTTGTTTATCCTGGGAGGAATCAGGCGTCACGTTTCCTGCCAGTAGCCAAGCAATTTTGGGGCGTATGTTGTGTTTCTTTTTCTAGCAGCTTGCGTTAATGACTTTTATGGAACGGAAACGCTGTACATTCGATACCCTTTGATACTTAAGGTATGCTATTGTAGGAGATCCTAACTGTGCTTTTCTGATTGTGTCGTCTATGAATTCTCACCACGTAGCTAAACTCTACTAAGAAGATCTCAGAATAAAATAAATGTTATCACGAATGTATATCATATGGGGATATTGAAAGCGATGACGTTGACAGGGGACTCGATAAATGTTGAGTGATAACACATTGCTTCATTCATTTGATATTTGATCCATTTGATCTGGTGGAATGGTAGACGCGTGATAGCCAATAAGTCAATGTGGACTAACAGCACAAGGCATTTTCGACCGTGCGGAATAGTAGAATCGTCTCCTGTTTGGTTATGGCGCGTTTGTTTCCCAGAGAGGGATTGGGACGGAGCGAAATTTCGCGTTTCATTGAATGTTTTCTTAAAAGGAAGATGGATTAGTAATGTGATAGCAGCACGTATAGTGTTAAGTAACTGATCTTGCTGCACCTCCTGGTCAGAAGTGAACTTCCTGAGTTTCCGATCACTTTGATGAAATGTGAGTGACCGGATTTTTTTGTCTCTGTGTTCCTCACGGCGTTTGAGCAGCTTTTATTGTTGAGTCTTTCCGTTACACTTCTAGTCTTTTTCTCCTGATACCTTTAGTTTGTAGGCTTCTTTCCGGTAACATCATTCCAGTCCTGATGTCATATTTGCTCTGACAGTGTGTGGACAATACATGGAGACATTTTTTTCTTCCCTTTTTCAACAGTCGCCCATTGCTTCCTGCTGTTGTGCCAGGTCACCACGTTGAACGTTGCGTTTAACTCTCAGAATAAGTCTCTCGTGACCGTGTTTATCTCGAACAACGTGAGTTTTCCCTTCAACATACCTGCTTTTTTCTGCTCACTGTCAAGCCGAATTTCAGACACCCGTGTCTTTTTGGACCAGAGCATTCCACATTCGTCTACTTCCTCTCCCCCTTAACCCAGGGATTTTGCACGCCTCCATCACGAATTGCACCGGAATTCATTGATCAATTCATCTCAGCCCGTCGACATCCGAACTTTCTGGCAATCCATACACAGGTCAAAGGCGAAACTAACTTAACACCCCTGATACCATGGAAATAGGTACAAAAACTACGCCATCGTCACCATAAACCCTCTTGTAGTATTTCTTGGGGTTGTAAAGCGAACCATTCGACTGATGCGGCATTGTGAAGCAGCCGAAAAACAACACACTTCTTTAGCGAATATACATTCATTTGCAAACTAATTTCGAGAGACTCACCCGGGACCCAGCTGAATCTTTCGTTTGTGATGTTTGCAGGCAACTGGATGTGCTGCACCAGGCCGCCTCATGTTTCAGTCCCTATGATATTCGAGATATCGTGATACGTGTATATTTGTAGTGCACTACTCATAAGGTTGCTGAAAATTCGTCGACAGCCCACGACCGATTTCCTCCTTCTTGGGGCTCATCAGGTAGGCGCAGTCCCCGGGTTTCCGTCAACCGTATGTTCTACTTGAAACCAAATTGCACGAAATTATCGAATATACACTCATTTGCAAACTAATTCGGTTTTTCGAGAGACTCACCTGGAACCCAGCTGAATCTCTCGTTTGTGATGTTTCCAGGAATATCGTAGCGACTTAAACATGAAGCTGCCTGCTCTTCTGGTCTGCGCCGGAGCATCTGACAGCTGCCTGTTGAATATTAAGCATTTGTTGACAAGTCACGTTCGCGTGTCTGAAACACTAAGTAATCTCTCACATCACCCGTCTGTTCTTTTCGAGTTAGCCCAAAATATCCTTTGGGTGTCAAGTTCGAGAGGTAGCTTCTTCATTCTCGGGCTTATGAGATAAACATGACACAATTGTATGATACAGTGAACACCACTAAGGCACGCAGTGTCAGAAGGGTAGTCAATTGATCACGTGAGTCTGTTTAGTTTATCAGCAGCAATCCCTGAGTACGGTGGCTGCAGATGAAACGGTTCCCGTCATTGAAAACCGGGAGACTGAGAGAAAGATTTCCAGACATAGGAAGTGATGGCCCAATCAATAAGTCCATGTTGATTCTTTTTATTTGCTTGCTTAAACAGGGAACCGGGCAGCGGCGCATTGAAAGCTATAGGCTTGATTCAGGATTCTTAGTAACCGTTGATGGGGTGAGTCTCGTCTAGGGAGGTGGCAGTTATCAACCCAATTGATCTTTCCGGGTACAACTTCTATACACCGTTGACATTGCCAGGTCATGGGCTAGCCGTCTCTCGATCACAGGAGTGGGTAAAAAGTCCTACCAGGTAGACAGTTTTCCAACATGCGATGTACATGTCCTAACCGGTGCAACTCATGAAGGGTGAATTCCTCGTTCATCGCAGGAGAGTTCCTTCCTTAGAAAAACATGGCCTGACTCAGCAGCGTTTATGCGCTGTGATTGCCATACTGGGTTGATGCTTTGGGGGCACCGATGGTCGTATCTCCTCTATGCGTTAAGGTCATGTTTCTGATCCATCTAGTACTCTGGATCGCACAGGCACACTGTATTCTTCACCCTTGACAGACACTGACATCGCGCCACTGCCGTAGTTATCGAACGTTAAAAGGAGTTGCTCTGGTCTTCCCAATCTAGCCAGGCTGCGCAGACTTGCAGGACTCTTCAGGTAAACAAATTTATCTACCACGTGGATTGGATGGACTGCAAGCGTGAGGTTCTGGTTTAATCCTATTCAGTTTTCTAATGATATAACACCTAGCCTTCTCAGACTCGGAACTGTAACTTTGTTTTTTTTATACCACATACTAATATAGTTTTAATTTTAATTTTAATTGAATTAGACAGCCATTCAGCGCAAATTCTACTGTCTACTCAAATCAAGTCCAATAAAGAACGGTTAAGTGTTCAAACTACTGGTTGGGAGGTTTCGGTTTCGAGACTCTCTGGAGTTTCCTGGTAGAGTCGAGTTGAGGGAGCCGATGAGTCCCAATAAGGATAAAACAACTATACAGTGCTTCTCGGCTTTTCAACATAGATTGGCTTTACCTGCAGGACCAAATCTCACACTGTTAACGAAGATCTTTCAACCCTTGAGTTGAGTGCAATTCCAGTGTGATAGGTATCCCGAGACATTTCGTCGTGAGGACAAAATATCCCCAATGTAAAGTGCCTCATGGTCATTCTGCTTCAGTTCCCTCTCAAACAAACAAGGCGAGATGGCTCGAGTGGTTAGAGCACGAATTTACTGACCGCAAGGTCCGTGGTTTGAACTTACCTCTGCCTCTCGACATCCCCTGTCTAGGCTTGGGCAACCTGGCAGCATCTCAGCCCTCGTGCTTCCTTCGGGTAGCATGGCTGCTAGTCACCGGAATGGTGCTACAGACAAACGCCCCAGTCCGTGTTCTAGGTTCCCATCTTTCAGGACAAAGCTATCGTGCTCGTTCTAGATTGTTTTGTGCGCTCCTTAATCTGTGCTTATTTCGAAGGTACCCGTTGTCACCGACAAGGTATCCTCCGTTTTTATCCTTCACATGGTACGTGGCTAAAAGTGCATTTGCTAACTGAATAGCAAAATCGTCCCTGTCATAGTCCTTTTTTCCTGTTGTGAATGTGTAATTCCTATGAACCATACATGTTTGGTTCTTTTTGAAATAAATTTTTACGTGGTGTACCATATCGACCTTGTATCTTTCTCTTTTCACCTCCAGTTTGTAGAGCTGAAAAGTAACGTATTTCGCAAAATGGGCAAAACCAACTTGTTTCAAATCGCTTGTGCAGATGTCCGTGAACGATTTCACTACGGCGTCTGGTTGTTTATCATCGTTTGCCGTAATATGAACGACACTGGTTGGAATCTAGGTAAGTCTGAATTCCACGCATAAGAAGGTTCCTTCTGTTTTCTTCGCTTGTATGTTTGTACGTTTGATCACCTCTTGTTTCCCTTGCGCTACGTCTGACCAGTCAGTTGGATAAACAAGTCACGGCATGCCTTCACTTAAAGCCTTAACCTACTGAGTATATACGATAATGATCTCGGTCAAAGTGGTGGACGGATGTTATTGACCAACTTTGACTGTAGCCCCCTTAAATTTAACGTTACTGTGTGATGACTCATGCGCTACAAACTCTCCGTAAGCAACAGTTTGGTGCTATCTTTGGAAGACTGTTAATGGCTCCGCGTAGAGCACGCCATATCCATACCACTCTCTTTCGAGCAGCTCGTCTCATGTTCTGGCACAATTGTTTCTGTTAGTTCACATCCTAGCAGAGCTCATCAACAGTACATATTGTTCGCTGCATATCCGTGGTCAGCGTGTTGCCACTGATCCATCAACATACGTCGGACGTTTCTGGATTATCACGACTGAGCATGTGCTCATGCTTTTGAACAATCGGACTGGCTTGTCCAGTCCCGCCTTTCACGCTTTGGCGATATCAACAGTGTACCAACAGCTGAGTTTCGTGGTATTTTTGTAATTTCTGGAGTAGACTGATACACACTTGGTTGCAGGCATCGCACCATCTGCCGTTGGCCTTTGGATACCGGTTATTAGATGATCTTACCACTATACGGCACCCTCCTTTTCGAAGAAAACATTCGGGAATGGTGACATATCTCGTATCTGGGGATCGGTGCTTCCTCGTGGGTAGGATACACAATTAAAAAATCAAACCCCACGGTTTCTGCATCAAAATGATGGAACTTTGGTTGCACCCGAGTGTATTCTTTATGCATCTGTGATGCAGTGTTTCTTTTCACCCGAATTCGAAGCCTCTAATATTTTTATACCCCTTGCTCTAGATGTACTAGTGAAAGGAAGAAGGCCTTTGCTGCGAAGTTATTTAGTAGAAAATGCCAACTGAACAGTTACAGGCTATTGGACAGGGAAGCAAAACTCTCATATGCATGTTGTTTACAAAAACTGAATATCTATCTCTTTGAACACGTCTTCCTGAACTTTCCTGGATATTCATTGATTGCGCTCGAATCTGAGTAAATGCTATGAAGCGACTTACAAATTCAGCAATAAATCTCACTTTTCAAGAGACTCAGAGCGGATTTACGAGAAAACATACTACTCTCATGCCCACACATAAGTAGTATCACCGTTACACTAGTAGCAACTATCAGCACATTTATCAGTATCATTAAAACCACGTCTTCTCTTTCTATATCGTGTATCTAAACTCAGCTGTAAGGCGCACAATGATGTTGCTTACGACGAATATTTCCCGCGTATATTAACAAAGGAATGACAGTTCTTGAGAAGTTGGTAGGTATTGAGTCTCCATGCATTGTCTCATTCTTTGTTCCACTTTCATTAAGTACACCGCTCTGTTACAATTGTTGCACATTTCTAAGAATGGTGCTGTATAGGTGTTTTCGTGGTAACCTAACACCACTCCTTATTATGTTTCCTTTGCAGATGACCTTTGGTCCATGTTGTTCGACGTCGCTTGTATATTCCTTGCCGAGGTTGCTGTCGACTGGATCAAACACTCGTTTATCACAAAGTTCAATGTAATCCCTTCGGATGTAAGTGTCGTGATTTTCATCATAATGTGCAGTCTGTGAAAAAACAAATGCGGTGGAGAATGCCGTGTTTGGGTTTATCATGTTGGTCGGTGCTCAAAAATAGCTAGTGACTCTCCTGACTCTCAACGCTCTCTCAAATAGCATATGGGTAGTCAAATACTCTACTTACACAACCAGGATACATACCATTCTTTTACTGGCAGTGACCTACGCTCCCTCGTGTACATAAGCAAAGTTTTGTATGAGTTTCTAGCTTGTGAAATCTGTTCAATTAGGGATATGTCGCGTTGACCTTCGTTCTCGGAAGTTATTAGTTAAGAAGTCGGTCAAACTTCAAATCAAGTTTTCTCAGCTGTGTTGAAGGTATCAGTGACACTATATTCTGTTCATGCACATTTCGGCTGAATGTTAGCGGTCCAACTGTGATCGGGAAAATTGAGTCGCAATCACCCTGGTTGTCATGGTTGTACGAGGGCTGGGATACTATCAGGGCGCCCACACCTAGAAAGGAGGACGATCCTCAACTAAAGCCTTTGGCTCAAAAGCGTAACCTAAGGCAGCGGTGTTCGGCTGGAAATGCAAGTACATTACGATCTTTACGGAACACCTCGCCATAAATGTTCCAACCCAACCCCCAACCTGGGGGGCCAGGAGACTGTGTTCGTCAAACCTCTAACCACTGACCAACCTGGTATGAAAGACTCTGTGAGCATCGTGCGGACACTCCCCAGTATAGCTGAACGGGTCGATGAGGTACACAAACCGCCACACCACGGTAAGGTCCAGTATCTTCGTGACGGAATCACCCTGGATAGTCGTAGGAAGCGCATTGATATTGATTTTCAACAAGAAGCGGCTGTAGAGTGTCTTGGGCAGAATGTGGCACACCTGCTTCATTGGCTGGACTCCAATTTCGTTAACGAGCTGAGCTAGAAAGGCCCGTAATGACAGCGAAGTTTGCGCACTCCAAGTGCACGTGTGTGTGTATGTGTGTGCATATGATACACTAGCATTGTAAACGGTAAGGAATCACTTGTTGACAAAATGGTAGTCGGCTACTGGTGACGTATTGATTTCACTTGTTTAATCCCGTGAGTTGATCATATAACATGAAACACTACGCTGATCGTCGTTTGATAAACCGATATCTACTTACACACCACGGAAACTCTGCTGATCACTAAATACAAGAGCCTAAGCAACACTTCGTTGTTTTACGTTGCTGCACTCATAGGTTGAATATTGATTGTTAATCGTGAGTCGGTTGTTTCCGTGATCTGATCCCAGTTTTTTATGTACCACAGGTTTACAAGGAGTACACGGTGAGCATCGCTTATGATCTGCTGCTGTGTCGTCAAGGCAAGGTAGGCTTTCTATTAACTTCACTATCCCCATGTTTCTCATGTTCTGTTTCCCCCCTACGAAATCGCTCGCATTCGACGCTTTTCTTAGTCATTTACTTGACAATCGATAGATTTCTGTCGTTGCATATCCGCTCATTCAGGAGTTCTAACCTTTGGACCGGGTTGTTCTCTCGGATTGGTAAATCTAGCTAGCGGTATCATTAGAGAAGTCTCACTTGAGCCAACGAAGACCAAACTAGACTTCGTTTTTCTCCAGAGGATATATTTTCCCTCTTCGTGTATTTCCTGCGGCGCTTGAAGCCCGTCCCGCCTCTGAAAGTACAGCTAGAATCAGTCTTTGGACATTCCATGCCGGCATCTAGTCTGACACTTTCCAGTTGATGACCTCCCTTTTCACAGGATCTGTTATCTGGTCTGGCATTCAGATATTTCCAGGACTTGTCGATGCAAAGGAGTCCTGATGAAGTGGCTTAGATAAGTGCCCCCGTCTGGAGAGTCCACCCGAAAGTGGATTCTTTTGTGATGGATGCTTTCCAGAATCCATTCCTCTGTATGGTCCTCAATACCGTTCTATTCGACCATTTCAGTCAAACGTTGTCTGTGAGTCTCCATGAAAATGCCCTCGGGTATGGTTATGGTAGATGCACTGGCACAAAATGACCTCAGTTGTGTTATGTCCACACAGACTATCGTCTCTTTCATCTGTATGTTTACCTCGTTTATGAACGACGAAATCCGCTATCGGGTTTATAGATAACTGGTGTGAACTGATCGAATATAACCTCGAGTTTACAATTTCAAGTTTCCCCGTTTGTGCTCGCCACACATCTGTAGAATACAGCCGACTACTTTGACCTGTTATCGCGTCGCATGGGTCTTACACCGATCCCCTTGAGTTGTTTGATCAACGTGATGCTAATCCAAACTGTTCGAAATCCGGGATTCCTTTGGCTCAGTTTGCCCGTTGTATTCTGCATGTAAGTCACACATTTTTGTAACCATCGTGCTTCCGTCAATTCGCCTGGTCTATTACTGTGGAAATCACCTAAATCTTTCATGGTCTTTGGCTGCTAATCCCAGTTGAATACCTGGTTAATCATATTTGTGGCTCAAGTTCACAGGTGTGATTTGATGTAAAAACAACCGTTCAGTCGTTTCGGTCCGTGGCTCCCAAGCCACCCGAAAGAATAATGAGGGCTGAGCTATTACCAGACTTATCAAGCCTTAACAGAAGCAGTCGAGATGCCGAAATTGATTTCGAACGACGGATCTTCCGGTTAGTAAGTTCGCTCCTTAATCACTGGCTATCTCGAGCTACCAGTAAGCAGGATGTCAGTAGTTCGCATCTACTCCCAGACGTGTCCTCTGGCTCATACTATGTGAACTTCGACTTCTCCATCGGAGATCTACTCAGTCTCACAATTATGAGCATCGTGGTCAGTATCGAGAGCTGAGACTCTTAGTTTCTGCAGTAAATACTAGAGTATAAAACCGTAGCTTCTCTCTGTGTGTGCGTGTGTAGATGGAGCCTCGTTCCGAATCAAGCGTGATATACGTGTATATAACTGATCTGGAGCCCTCTGCTCACGGTTGATGATATAACCGGGACGGGTAATCCTTACGGACCAAATATATCCCCTGATTGACGCCCCAACTTCACACAACTGGCGTTTACTTTGGGATTTAAGTGAACTGCCTGTTTAGACATCATTAGCGAGAGACTCAGTTGGGTTCCTGTCAAAACCAAATTGGTATGCAAATGATTGTTTGTCGAACTGTGTTGTTCAGGCGGTTGTTGATTTGTTCACTGAGCTTGGCAATTAGTTTGCACGTATCTCGTCACCGTCCGAGGAAACTACTTTGAGTGAGTGTTGAAAACTTATATACGAGAGAGAAGGTAGGCTGCCTGCACTTCAGACTGCACCGATGCGGGTTGTTAAGCCTAATGGTGACTGTCAGGTTTGGTTAAGTCGCAGTGCCTTACGAGAAGATGACAAACGACCGAGAATGTGTTATATCTGCTGATTCGTCAATCTGCGGTATCTGCTGCTGACCCGCTCCAGCGCCTAGTTGCCGAGAGAAAAGGCTCACAGAAGAGAATACAACAGCTACGTTCCGAACAAGCGAGCGTGAGTGCGTGCGAGTGCGAAAAGTACAACGGTCTCAAGCTATCTACTGGAAGGACACTGTCTGAACTTAGTCCAATGCTGACTTACACGGTATGGCTTTGGTACGAGGCAGCGACGTGCTGCATATTGCGGAGGCGTTGTCTGACCTTGGTCAACGCTGACTCGCGCTGTCTGGGTTTGGTGCAAGGCTGTGACGCGCTGCATATTGAGGGGGCGTTGTCTGTCTGGTCAACATCTAGCGGAGCTGAGGGTCTCGGTAGATATCGGGCATTCAGTGGTTGCTTTCAGGAAGCTGACCTTCCTGATAGAATGTATTGCTCATGAAATCGTATGTACCCACCATGTTGTATCTAACAGTCTTAAGTGAATCAGCACGAATCGTAATTGTTTCCGGATCTGTCTTTCCCGCCATTCGGTTGGCTGAGGAGGGGCTAAAATAAGTGGTACAGTATGCTCCCCCTGTGGTAGGAGTCGTACGTCACTTGTAGATCACCATGATTTTCAGTCAACCAACATGTCACTGTCTTTCTCTTTTTCAAATTTACGATTTGCGCCTTCGAGTGCTTTGCTAACCGTACTCCGTTTTCTGAACGATTTCCCTCAATAGGTTGGGATAATTTGTTGCTTTTTATCCATTTATTCATCAGCCTTCATAAATGGAGTATTGCATGTATTCTCTCTCTCTCTCGTGACTTTCTGTACATTCCAGGCTTTGTGCTGTCAAAGTTGTGGTCAATATAACCCTACTCTCATTCGCTTACGCTCACGTTAAAGCGTATATCAAAGCCGTGAGTGCAGCTCATTCAGGAGTAGTGCAAGACACAAGTGTCACCTCAACAACGAAAGATGACATTTCTTTTTCGAGCAACCTGAAAGAACAACTATTCTCCGACAAACAGAGTGGTGAACCTGTTGCAAATGGGACAATGTCACAGCGGGGGCCGAGAGACCAATTGATCCCCGTTCGGTATACGGGATATGATCAGCCAGCCGGAGAGGATGAAAACTTCCTGCCAATGTTACTACGCCATCGTCGAGTGCGTAGCGAATCCGGGCGTTGCCCAACACCTGAACCACCGTCACCCCCATCTGGACGGGGAGATATAATAGTTGGATCTACCACACTTTGGCAATCCCCGTATGGTGAGGCAGTCTCTGAGAATGGAACGGAAGTACAGCAAGCAAGGTTTGCTTCACCTCTTACTGGCTCAGGTGATACTATGGGCACTTCGCAAGTTTTAGCGCGTGAGGTATTTACGGGGCTAGGAGGTATCGTGCCCAATATTGGACTGGCCAGTTCTTGTTCAAGTCCTATTTTACCGGCGAAAAGTGAGTTCATTTTTGACGTCACGGTTCCGTACTTTACGCTCCCTGTAGCTTATTTGTTCGCCTTCTGAGTTATGTGTGTTTTCAAACTTCCTCATTTCAATTTGAGGAGACGATTCCCATTAAACAAATGGTAAGCTTGGGTCGGTTGTTACTTTTAATTGTTATGAAGCTTATGTGAGAACTTGACTTTTGTGGGCACTTCACCACGGCTCTGGTGGTTCCCTGATTTATCTGTAAAACCAAACACAGCACATTAGGCTGTTTGACCAACTCAATTTCTTTCACCGCTTTGTCTTTAAATTGGTTTGAATGGACTTCCTATCACGGCCAGGCAGGTCCTTCATTTTGCGAGTCTATCTCTTACTAGCTGTCTTTCTTCTCGGAGTGGCTCACTAGTTAGTGCGCGATGATCGCAAGGTCCTTGGTCGGAGCCCGGCCTCTGCCTCACGACCGCTCCTATCTGGACTGACATTGTCCCAGCCCTCGTGCTTCCTTTGGGTGGCTTGATACCTGAAAGGTGTTACAGCTGAAAAATCGTTTATTTTCCCTAGTATGATTTTGTTTTTCATCTCGTGCACAATCCTTTCTCATCATTATGCAGCATTGGTGTCTAGTAATGTTGCTTGGAGGCGCCGCTTGTTTGTTGCTTGGCAATTGACTTGCCAATCGAGATACCATTTCAGTATGTTGTATTTGCACTTCTTGTTTTCGCCTTTAGGTGGTTTGCCTAGCCTCAGTTTTTCTGTCTGCCTGTGAGTTTTTTGATACGATATATTTTATGTCACTAAATTCCTGAACCCCGGCAATTCGTTTTCCGAATTCCACTGCTCGCTGGCAGACTCAAGCTATGCCTGGTCCTTTCATATTGCCGACCAGTACCGTTCCTCTTCACCATCTTATTTACTTTGCTAACATGGTCTTCTCACGGCTCAGTGCTTCGGCGGATATTTTGGATTAGTCATTGTTCCTATCCTTTTTTTCATTGCTGTGATTAAGCCTGTCTTCCAAACCTTCAGAAAATGTTGCCCCCTTATGGGAGTGTTGTCTGTCTTCATCTTGTGTCTCTCTTTATTGTCTGTCCAATATGGTCCCATGGAGCCTGGCAGACCTCCTTAACAATTTTTGCCAATAGATGTCTCATTGTCATCTGGGGCAGGTTTTGGAAAGCCTGTCTATCCTGATCATCATCGATTCTCTCAACGTTCTCCATAGTCCTACATCCATAGCTGCCGCTGTTGAAGTCACTTTCATTACCTTTTCCTGATGTGGGCTGTTGCTAAGTGGCTCAGTGGTTAGCGGGCGAATTTACTGATCGGAATGTCCATGGTTCGAACCCGACCTCTGTCTCTCGACTTCCCCTGCCTAGGCTTGGGCAACCTGGTAGTATCCCATCCCTCATACTTCCTTCGGGTGGCATGCAGTACACCGAAAGAGTTCTACAGCTGGACGTTTATATATATATATATATATATATATATATTACCTCATGTTAGCAAATTATATGGTAAAAGGCCAGTATGTCACACTAGAGTGATGACAAAAGTAAGTAACTGAGGCTTTAACGAGGTTGACAGACCATTGTTTGTCCATCTACGGAAAGGTTTTTA